ATAACGGGACTATCTGTAGTGAGGGAGATACTGCTTTTAAATCAAAAGATACTAAACAGGCTCCTGTGAATACTGTTTTCTATCCCCTATATCCAGAAAATTATATCCAGTTTGAATGTAGAAGGTGTCTTTTGATGAACTTGCTATTAAAACAAAAAAGAAAGTTTGATTATAATTGTTGTTGTGTCATAAGTTCCTGGGATTTTTTTTTGTTGTTGTTGTTGTAAGATACCAGTTCACATTCCTGAGCCTGTTCCCATTATACATAGTGGGAATGCACATAAAGCCCTGGAATTTCAAATTGAAGGGCTTTTATTGAGAGGGGCCAAGTCAGTTACCCAGAGCACCCCTATTTTAAGTACTGTCTATTCACAGTTAATACTTACCACTAGTGGTGGTGATATTCACTGTCCTAACGTGGCAGTATAGGAATATTTTTGAATGCAGGTATTGGTAAATGGTTTGCTATATTCAAGATTAAAAAAAAATCTACATTCAAAACCAAACTGGCACAGATTTCTTGTCAGATACCTTCTATGCCCCTTAACTCTGATGAACCATAGCTGATCACATGCCATGTAGTACAACATGGTTATTTGTGCTGGCTGTAAAGTAGAGCTGAGTAGGTGTAACTGCTAGATTTTCCTTCATCTTGATGGTTAAGGATATCTGAAGACTCTTGCCAAGACAGACAGATGATGAATATTTGTTCCTTTATAATCCTCTAGCCTGCTCACTGAATGGAAGGAAAATCACATAGATGGGGAGAGCTTGGAGCTATGTAATTTGAACCTCAGCAAAAGAAATATGTGGGTAGAATGAACTTTAAAATTTTGTGTGTAGCCAGATGATGAACTAGATGTGATGGTTCGGTTAGCACTGTGAACTCTATCTGCCTGCAGGCTGCTCCTGCCACCAAGATGCTTTTTTCCTGAACGTATGGGATTTATTTTTCTGTTTGACAACTGAAAGCTACCCAAATGTTTGCAGGCCTTGTTTTTGGGGTCTGTTTGCGATCTTGCTTGGGTGACAGGCAGGGGAAGGCGGTGGCAGGAAGAAGGGAGAAAGGCTGCTTTCTCCATTAGGAGCAGGCTGTAACAGCGCGAGACCACGGTACCCGATTTGATCATTAATTTAAGTGACTCGGTCAGAACAGTGACTAGTACAGAGCAAGATGACTGAGTGAGGAAGGAGGGGTTTTTTGCTTAAGTAATAGGGAAAACATAATTATGAAAATTATATATTGACTGGATGTCACAGATGTTGCAAGCTGTCCAAATGCTTTTTTCATTATTGGTTGTCGTAATTGACCTGTGTTGTTGCATAGCATTCCCATGCATTAGATGCGAGGTTTGGGGTGTTCTGGATGGATGAATTTTAGATCACGGTATCACAGAAACGTGGTAGTCTTCTAGAGGAATGAGAATGTAACAGAAGTTATGAGCACTGTTTTGGGAGAAGAAAATGAGTGAATCTGGATCCAAGTTCTAAACCTTTCTGGTTTAAAATAAATTGCAGAGATGAATGCATGAGACTGCTTTTGGCTAACATGGTAACTATTTGCTGCTTGGTGTTTTGTTGCTGCTGTAATTCTTTCAAAGTTACTTCTACAGTAGGAAAATAGAGCTCTTGCAAATATAAGGCCTGTCCACCAGCGTGGAGACGACTACATTTTACTGTAGCAGTACTTTTAACCCAGGATTCTGTTTTGTTTGATTATAGATGGTGTATTACAATTCATCAACATAACTTTATGGAAATCACTTACAGAAACTTTTCATCTTGAAAAGTTTTGTGGGAAGTCACTTGGTCCATTTCTGTGGACTTTTACAGGTTTTTTGTTCCTCGGTGTCAAACGCCTGAGAGTACCCAATAATTTCAAAATGTCTGTCTTCATTTCTTCTTGTTAAGAACAGTCTGGTTTGTGTCTCAGCAGTTTGTGTGTGTTTAATTTATTAGCTATTGAAAATAGATTTGGTTCTTGAATAGTTAATATACAAAGTTTTTCTGTTGGTTTCTTCTTTTTTTTTTTAATTTTTATTTATTGTTTGATAAAGCTGAAACTGCATAGAATTCCCCAGAATTGGTGTGGTATGTTCTCCTTGCTAGACAAAATCAAATCGTGCCCTTATTTTCATGGCTTAATAAATACTGCTTTAGAGTAAAGGTTTCAAAACTTCTGTTTATCTGCAAGTGTGTACATTGGCATGAGCCTCCTTGAAGCTCCTGTCAATCTAGGTTAATGTTTTCATGTTGATTCATTAGTTTTTCTTACTCCTTTTTTTATCTTTTGATGACTGGTAGTCTCCGAACTGAAAAGTGCTATATTTAGTACAGAAAACACATGGTTAAACTGACCAACACTTGACTTGGGTGTGTATACCCACAAGTATACACTCTGTGTAGGTGTGTACGTACACACACTGGGTATACGCCTCAGCATAGCTGTTGTGAAGTGCTTGAAGAGTGATTTCCTTGGTTAGTGAACTTGAGCACAAAACGCTTAGGTTTCATAATGCTCCAGCTTTTTCTGAGACCAAGCAGTTCTTATGTGCAGTTTGCGATCCCCCCCCAATTTTGGGAGCAGAATTCCTGTCTGTGTTTTACGTGAATGACCTAAATAATTGATATCCTTCTGAAAATCCCATCTTCCCACCATAGCTTAATTAAAAAATAGCTCAGGCTATTTTTAAATGCTTAGTGTTCCTGTGTTTAGGGAGATGATAGGCGATTCAGTAGAAAAAAAATTAGTGCACAATCCATGCACAAATAAACTGCATAATTGAACTTGTCACAACTGAAAAGAATAGTTAAATTCCAGTAGGAAATAGAACTTTAATAAATGTCACTTGGTGTTGACTTTTTTTTTTTATCCTGTAAGTAGCAAGGAATTTAAATTTCATCTTTTTTGGTGGATGAATGAATTCTTTTCTGAAGTGCCATGCATAACAAATTAATAGAAAACTATTTTGTGACCCAATAGTGTGTATTTATATTATTATTTCACACAGTGCTTTTCATCTCTAGTAGAGATGCCATTGATTTCAGGTGTGTTCTGTGAATTACTTTTTTAATGCCAAATGGATAGTTACAGGGGAAGGGGAAAAAAGGAGTTGAGGAGGCTGCCAGAGGTTGTGAGGAGTAATCCTTTATGACAGCAGTGGGTTTTTTGGCTGAATTACGGTGTTCAAAGCCATAGAGTCAGAGCTGTGGTGAATTATCCTGATATTAGTTGGGGAAAAATGAATACACGCTTTTTTTCTGCGCCTGCAGAAAGACAAGGTAATGGTTGCTCTGCCACACGAGATGTGTGCTGGTATAGATAATGCTTCTGCGCACGCACTCTACCCTTTTTCTTAAGAGGCCACTGTAATTGTAAGTAATATCAATCTCCTTTTGTTATAATGACTCTAATGGTGTGCAAGTAAAGATTATTTCAAGTGCACACAGCGTAAAGCTCTCTGAGAAGTCTTTCTCTGATGTTCGGTTGAGTTCCCTTTTGCTTCGCTTCCCTTCTTGCAGCCTGCTTGTTAATGAGATAACACGCAGCTGATTTAGGGAAGCAAAACCAGGGTTGCTCAGAGAACATCCATTTTTTTGTCTCCTCTTAAATACAGCTTGGTTAGGATGCAGTATTGCTCTACTCTTGCTACAGATGTCGGTAGGAGCTTTCTTAATGTCCTTTCGCTGAAGGTGTTCGGTCTACAGGTCGAGGATAAGACCACTTCTTTTAAATGTGTAAGGATGTGATATCGTACGCTGAGGGGCAGGGCTAGCTAACCTCTCTTGGCATCTCCAGGAAACTTCCCAGCTCTGCTGGGGGAGCTGCACACAGGAAAGGAAACAGTTACTCCTCCACGGTGAGTAACCCTGTTTTCTCCTTGTTCACCTTCCGACGGTTGTCTCTTAATCTCTTATGTCAAAATAGGTTGATGGCGGCCCTTGATCTCATCCTTAACATGGCACGGGGTTTTTCTGCAATTAGAAAAATTTCTTCTGCAATTGATCCAGTGGAGTGATGCTAAAAGTTACTTGTTTCTGAAAAGCTGTATGTGATTGCTGAACTGTACTTACATACTGAGGAATATGTACACTGAGACTTGAATGGAGTGCTCCGTAAACTGTCTGGAAGTTGAAAAACATAGTGCATCACTTTTTCTTAAATAAAGATGCTTTAGTTTTTGTACTGTGGCAAATTAGGGAATGAATTCTTCAAAGTTCTGTTTAATTGGAATTTCTGTTCCAGCTGTAATTTTGGATACTCTTTCTTCGTAAGTTTTCTTGGCAATTTGTGTTGAAAACTGTTGATACAGAATGAAGCACAGTATTATTTATACATTGCATGAAGCATTCTCGTGAGAATCTTGCTATCAGTATTGACTGAAGTTACGAAAAACATTTCATGCATCTTCCTTTTGTGTGTCTGAAGTAAAACACAGTTTTCTCTGGCTCAGTGGCTGACACTTAATTCTGAATATTACTAGTATGGATCTTAGTTTGTGGGCCAGCTATAAAACTTCGTTGCATTTTGAACATAATGTTTTCATCCTATTAGTAGCCTTGCTGAAATAAAGTATTCTGTCTGTGGAGTACTGTCATGGTGAGCGTAAGGACTATACCAGGCTAGTTCTTGGTTACTGGATGCTAGGTGTTGAGTTGTTACTCCTGGTTTGCTAAGGAACCTGAAGTGTAGAGAGAGCTTGGAGTGTTGTTTTTCCTTTGTTTTAAATATTACCCATTTGGTTTGGAACCTGGCTAGCTGGCAAAGAACAGTTGAATGCGTTTTGCTGGGAGTGGGAAAGAAGTGTGAAGATTTGTAATCTTTCTGTAGGCTACCTGAGGAAAGCTGGGAAACTGCACTTTAATTTTCCTTGCATCATAGGTAGGAAAGCCTTATGTGAACTTAATTTGTGTATTTATATCAGGGGAAACTGTTCGAGGGTAAAAATACATTCAAATACTGTAGAAAAAAAATGCTGCTCATTTACCTATCAACATATCCAGCATACTGTACCAAAAAAAAAAAAGTAGTTGCTTAATATCTGGTTGTCTGAGATTGTTGGATTTATCTGTTACCTTCTTTTTTTTAAGAAGTAATAGCATTTGGGGTGGGAAGGTTCACTCTTCCCCCTGATGTTAATTGCAGAAATATCCCCTCTCTGTATCTTCCCAACTGGAAGGGTCTGATCTTGGGGAAATACATAGCAAACACTTTCAAAGTCAATCACGTAGATGATTCTAAAAGAGCGAGTGTGTGAGACCGTAAAAACTTCAGTTATTCAGGACCAAAGTACTGGATTGATGTTGGATATTTTGGAAATTGTATTAGTGGCCAAGTTGTACGTTAAGCACCTATGCCAGTGTTGAGTTTTGGGATGGGGAAAAAAGTGGGAAGACTTTTGGAATGGCTTATTTTCAAGTTAACCTAGTGCTACCAGAAATACAAGGAAAATGAAATTAAGACTTCGCTTCTTGATGTCTAAATCAATTAAGGAAAAGACATTTCAGTTTGACTTTTGTTGGTGCAGATGTGACTGTTACAAGGGTTGTGAAGTCAGTTTACCAAATTTTTGATTGCAAGTTTTTTTCCTTCGTCTATCGGCACAGTAATTGTGATGCTCATGTTTTAATGTGTTCACTTTTACAGGAGAAACATGACCCTTATTTCTGGTTCTGACAGATAGAAGTTTGCCATTGCCTGAAATCTGAAAGTTTATTTTAGTAACTTGTAGCAGATGCTCGGATACAGAGTCTGTAGTGTTTTCTGATGTGTTATTTAGTATTTGTAATAGGAGTAGATTCACATTGCTTCACTTAGCTTTGTTCTGATTATACAGTCAGTGCTATTTTATGTGAAGATTATTTTTATGGGGATTACTTGCTGATACTATTTGTTTAATATAATACACTGGTGTATTTTGTTCTTGAAAGCTTGAATTTGTCTACCTTAATGTTTTAGGGGATGAGACTGTAGGTTTAAAAAAAAAAAGGCAAAAACGTACAACCAAAACAAATTTTAAAAATCCCACACAAAAAACCCCAAGTGTATGTTCTTACATCTTTTAAATTCATTGGCATGTGCTATCTGAGTCTGTATTTTTTTGCATGGTTACATAAAAGCAAATCCACAAAGACTAAGAATTCACTTTGAAAAAATATTTTGGATAGGTAAGTTTGACCCAAATCCTGGAAGACTCATGGCTTTATTTTTTTGGCATGGTTGTTAATAGTGAACTTCATATATAGCAATAAGTAGCACTTCTGTAGATAGTGGGTGTATTTCTTTACTTTGTAAAGAAAGGACCAAAGTCAGAAAAGCTTCATCAGCTTAACTTGTCAGGAAAGGATTCTGCCTCAGCAGCCAAATTCCCCTGTCCTTCCTAGATTAAGACGATGAGGAGCCACGCTCGTTTTGATGAGTGTGTCCATAGGTTTGACAATGAGACCAAATCTCTGGCTATTTAACAGAACTGATGAGAAATCAAGATTCTGCGTTCGAGGTGGTGTCCTTATAGTGTACTTGTCTCTGACAAACAGTCTGACCCATAGGTATGGTTGATTTATAAATGTTAGAACTGAGGCATACTATTAGTAAAGCCAAACATTTTTGGCGCTACTGGCATGAAATTTAACTTGTTAAAATGAATTAAATGCCAATGAAATTCACGTAGTCAATGATTTCCATAATGTGCAGTAATTCTTAGTTTGTTTTCATGCAGGGTCCCGAGTCTGGTGTCTTTGGAAGAGACAAAACTGTACACTGGTGTTGAATATGGTGAGTAGATCCTAACTCTGTTCAGACAGGTTGCGTTTGTTTCTTTTTTTGGTCTGCTTTAAAAACAGTAGGTTCTTTTTGAGACCGTAATTTTGATTCTTCTCTGTGTATGAAATGGTCTTTTTTGGCCAACATGGAAGTTCTTGTGTACACACCGTTTCATCTTCCACGACGGTATCCGAGATGCAAATGTGCTGCAGTAATAGAGCTGGGAATGGGAGCTCAGGTCCAACCCCCAGGTCAGAATGGTTGGGCCCCTGTACTTCCACACAGATGAGAGGTGCAGGAGGCAACACCCAGCACCAAGGACTGCACTTGAGAGACAGAAGGAATCAAGGCATAACCTGCTAAAGGCTGTGGCAGCTCCATTAGAAGAAAACTGCATTTTTTCAGGCTTTGTGTGTATTCTTCACCATCTTCCAAGTGAAGATGAGCTATTTAAATAAGGAACTGAGGCACACACGGTAACTGCTTATTGGACCGTTCAATGTTTTTAGGTGCTTTAATACTTCTTCTAAAATCTGGTCTATTAGCTTGCAAGTGGTGAGTTTGTAGCCATGTAACACGTAATAGAGAATGAGCGTTTACTTAGTGGTCTTTTGCAGCAATTAAGATTTTTCTGGCTTAAAACTTTCCAAGGAGACTGCTTGTATCATTGATCCTTCTTTCTTCTGCATTTCTTGGTGTTTAGATTGGGAACGTCTGTTCCCTTCCATGTATTGAAGGGGAATAAGTTCCCAGTCTTTTACTGGCTTGATCACCCGATCCATAAAAATCTACTCTATTGACTTTCTTTTTTACCCTGCTTAATGTGTTACTCAGTTTTCATACGCTAAATAATATGTCTCAATCTGTGGTTAGAAATTAAGCCAACTGTCAGGGCAGATAAAGGTTATATACATGTAAAAAAACATACTGTTGACTTGATAAACAGAAGGTGGCCCTGTGAGCGTGGTGTCCTTAGATAGAACACGATGGTTATTTTTATAATAGTCCATACTGCCATTTCTGAATAGTCCGCTCTGGCTTTCCACTAGTTCACTTACCTGTAAATTGCTTTTTATGCTATTGTATAATAGAGAGCAAATGTTTAATTTTTTTTTTTTGTAGATTTATCACGAGAGAATTATCGAGAAACAATTGCAAGGGTTACAAGGAAATTGCTGCGTAAGTTTAACCACTCCTCTATCTAAAAAGTACTGTGTCGTGCTTTTAAATATAATTTTATAGATGGGAAACTTGTTTTGTTTACTTTGCCTATAATTCTTAAATTTAAGCTTTGTAGAAATAAAATTATTGTTAATTTTTAAAGCTCTTTTCCTGTCTGACAATAAATTATTTTTCTTCTAATTGCAGGCTATATACTTGATAATTCAGAAGATGACACCAAGTCTTTATTTCTAATAATAAAGGTATAATTATAATTTGTAATACTTAAGACAAGATTACTTGTTCTGCAAAATAGTCACTCTGTCATCTTTTTCTTTCTACAGATTATTAGTGATGTTTTGCAGTTCCAAGGGTCTCACAAGCATGAGTTTGATTCACGATGGAAAAGCTTTAATCTAGTGAAAAAATCAATGGAGAACAGGGTCAGTGATTTTTCTTTGTAAAGCTTAGGTGAGGGGTGGAGACAGTTCCTAATGTTCAGAAAGACTTTTTTTGTATTTTCATTACTGTCCTAATCAGTTTTTGTAATTTTGAAATCTAATTCCTTGATAAAATACTGTTTTGCAGTGCTCTTGTACCTTTATTTAGATATCTTATGAGTAAATAGCTTAGCATTTCTGAATTGTAGTAACCCTCCGTCCCTCTCAGGACTGAAGTCTGAGATTTGGCGTGATGCTCCATTCTGGTCCTTCTTAACTGAGAAATTTCTGTGACCAGCGCTTCCTTTTGCTTATAGAGCAATAGGCAAATAAAAAACTTTACCAGGGCAAAAAAATCAAGGTTGTCTGCCGGGAAGAATTTCTACAGGAAATTTGCTTGTTTCTAGAACAAGAAGAGTACATGGGGAATTCAGTGCAAATTGCTAATACGAATACTGGTTTCTAAACCCAATCATATATTTGTTTACAGCTTCAAGGAAAGAAACAGCATATCAGAGCTTTGCTGATAGACAGAGTTATGTTGCAGCATGAGGTAATGCTTTCACTTAAATCTTCGCTAACTACTTTTCTCAAAAAGCTGATTTGTTATGTTGTCATTTAGCAAAAGATGCAATAATCTTGTGCTAGTGTTTCTCTTACATGTGTGAAATGTAAAAAGAATCTGTCCTTTATTTGTGTGTTCTATGCAATTTAGCTGAGAACACTAACGATGGAAGGCTGTGAATATAAAACTTCCCACCAGGAGATGATCAGAGATCTTTTGTGTTTGTCCACAAGTTCATACGGTCAGGTAAGGAACTACCCCTTTGGAACTGAAATATATGGAGTTTTTTTTTATTGATCTCTTCAAGTTATGTTTTCAGGATCTTTGCTTTTCAATTTATTTCCATGGCAACATGAAATATTTACTTCATTTGCATTAGTTGCCAATTTTGGCATAGCTTTTGCTTGAAGCCCCTTCTTTGTCAAATAAATAACTGGGTGGAGAGGCTGCCAACTTAGGTTACAAATGTTAAGTTTTTTGAGGGACTTAACTCTAGGATTCTAGAAACAATAATTCAATACAAAATTTTAATAAAAATACACCAGGTTGAGGTTCTTAGATGTGATGATATGATTCATGACACTACTTGGTCTACTTTTAGGAAGTAGCTATGATGGCACCCTAGTTCTTAAAAATAAACAAAACAAGTGTGCTGATAGTTGGATTCTGAACTCTTTGCCTGGTGAGAGCTTTGTGTGTGTGTATAAATTCAGATCCATCCACAATGTCTGCAGGCTCTTTAGAGTTCTGCTGACTGCTCCTGTTATTCTAGCTGTTTGCTTTTCAAATTATTTTAAAAACACAGTGACTGTTTTTTGGCAACGTAAAGAATTTTCTTTAACTTTGTAGCTGTTCTCAAGTAAATGCTAGGAACAAGAAGTAGGTTTTTATAAACAACTGTGAGCAAGGGTGAGGGGAAGCATGCTATTTACAGCCTTCTACAAATAATTTTCTTTCTGTGCACAAATACATCATGTAAATGCTGTGCATAAGTCACGGAAATGGGTAAGGATGTCATTTTTGTAGAGTGTATTTTTGGCTCAGAAGACTTTCTAGCAATGTCTCTTTTCCCACAGGTCAGAAGTAAAGCTCAGCAAGCATTCTTCACAGCTCTGGGAACGTACAATTTTTGTTGCAGAGATATCATTCCCTTGGTTTTGGAGTTCTTGCGTCCAGACCGGCAAGATGTCACTCAAAAGCAATTTAAAGTACAGTCTCATTACCTTTGTTTCATGTCTGTCTTTTTAAAGTGTTTTTACAGGAGAATTTTTAATGGTGAAAGTGGGATTTGCTTATCAGCATGACTGATATTTTCATGGCATATAGCTTATGCATGACTAGTGTAAGGAATTGCTTGGATTAGATCAGTTGTCAAGAGAAATTTTGTGTTTATATAGGTTCCTCATTTCATTGTGTGTTCAGGTATTACAAAAATGTATGTTAACACCCATTTTTAAATTATGACACGGAAATTGAGAAGCTGCAGTCCAAGGTGGTAACGCGTGTTAGACAGTTCTGTCAGCTCACAGTACAAGAAAATAACGTGAACTCGACAAAAAGTTGATCACCCAAAAAAATTATACTAAATCAGGTGGGGTTTGTTATGAAATGGTGGGTAATTGCTGATGCTGTCAGGCCTGGAAAGAAATGATGCTGCTGCAGTGATGCCAGGATGCAATCTATCTGTCCGGGTGTTCGAAAGCATCATGCTCCCCTCCTTCCTCTGCACCCCCTCAGTCCTCCTGGCCACAGGGGCGAGTTGGACCCTTGTCATAGGGTCAGAACAAGAGCTATGGCTTACTGTCCTGCTCCAGCTGCCTGATAGGTACTCTCAGACAGCATGCCATTACCTTGTTTGCATATCTTATTACCCCTTTTCTCGTTTCTTGATGATTATTTTTTTCTGCCATCCTTGTACCTCACTTTCTCCATCCCTGTCTCCTCCCAGATAAGCAACCCGCACCTAGTTACTTCTTCTGGATTGGTCCCAGTTTTGCTACACTTACAGCATTTGCTCCCATACCTGAATCTGGTGTTTCTGATACTGCTACCAGGCAGTTGTAGCCTGTATGGTATTACTGATGTGGTTACCTAGGCACTGTTGTTCTTGTAAGACTCTGCTCTCCAAAAGGTCCCCAAGACTTCCTTCCAATTGCCGGTGAAATTTGGCCATTTCTCACATAATTCCCACTTAATCACCTGTGAAATCCAGCCAGGCTTTGCTTCGCTGTGTGTAACTCTTGTCAGCTTCTCACACAATCACCTGTCACGTTCACCAGTTCCTCGTCTCCGGTAGTTATCCCCATCCTGTTCGGTCGGCACCATTTCAGGTGCCTACTTAACAGGGTTATGATTTGCCTGCAGCCCAAACGTGGGTAAGTTCACAGAAAGGCCAGGTGTGGTACTTGATCACTGAATAATCTTTATAATGTAATTCAGAAATCAGCCAGCCATTCTGTGGATAAATTAATTGGCAGGGCTTCCAATCTCATTAAAACGGTTCTAGTATGAAGAGGAGTCTGTGAAAAATCTTCAGTATTTTGACAATGAGGCCGCATAGCTGAATGTTTATGGTACATTTTAATGATTTGGTAAGATGAAGATTAATTTTTATTCTGTGTGGTTGCATGCTTATGTAGATAGATATCACTTATATGTGAACAATGCTTTAACTTTTAAAAATGACTTCTTTCATTTTGCAGGGTGCCTTATATTGTCTTCTTGGAAATCACAGTGGAGTATGTTTGGCAAATCTTCACGATTGGGATTGTATTGCACAGACGTGGCCAGCGATTGTTTCTTCTGGGCTTAGCAAAGCTATGTCCTTGGAAAAACCATCCATAGTTAGACTCTTTGATGACCTAGCAGAAAAAATCCATAGGCAGTATGAAACAATTGGATTGGATTTTGCAGTAAGTGACAGATTGCTTGGCATTAATGTCTTGGATTCTGAGAGCGTTTGATTGCATAAATGCTTGAGACTCATGTATATTATTTGAGTTAGTGTTGTGATGTTGATCACGTCCTGATTTCTGTTACAGAGGAATGTAGACATGTATTTTTGAGGCTGAAGTAATAGAGCTTCCTGTAATGCTATTGGAGTTTGTAACTTTTCGTTAACCTCTAAGGAAGCCTGTTACAGAAAGGAAGTTTAAGTTGCCTTTCAGTGTTAATTAGTATGGGCCATGCTGATCAGGTGTGAAGGTGTGCTTTGGTAGGACAGTGTCATCAAATTAATGTTGGCAGTATTTGTAGTGTTGTCCCACTGTGCTAACACAGCACACGTTACACAACTGCCTTTTGCCTAATCAGTGGGATAAATGGCATGGTACTTATTTTAAAGAATGAATGCCAATTAATAAAAATCTTTTAGAGACAATTTTTATGCTTTAATGAAGTATTAAAGTTTGTCTTTATCTTAAAACAGAATCAAACATTTACTTGGAGAAATAATTCTACTGTGTGAACACAAAAGCTGTCTTCCATACTTTTTCACGGACTTCATGGAAATTCTGCGCTTTTCATATGATTCTGAACTCTCCTTATTTAAAAACAGAAATAAACAACTCTCCTTATTTAAAAACAGAAATAAACAAATATAAAAACTTGTCCTAAATCTTTGCATTCTCTGTCAATAGGTTCCAGAGAAATGTGTTGAGATAGCTGTTATGCTGCAAAAAACAGAACATCCAGGTGCAAACTTCACAGGTCTTCGTTCAGAAGAAATTCAGTTGGGAATTCAGCGACAGAAAGAAAAGAATGCCGAGGCTGTGCAGTAAGTTAAACTTCCCTTAACACCAGCTTGTGCTGCCTGATATTTACTGTACGTTAAATGTAATAATCCGAAATTGCTAAAGTAAATCTCAAGCTCGGCAAATTCAGAATGTCCAAGGATTGTTGTGGTGTGTCTTCTCTCCTGACTTGGCAGCCTCTTTCTTCTGCACTCCTATTTCCTTCCTTCCTCGTCCTCTCTCCTCCCAGTTTGTGCTGCATTTACTGCATTGCCTTCACCCACCTTTCATTGATGAACTTTTACTCTGTCTTTAAATGGTTCCCAGTAGCATCCGGTTGATGATTCCCTCTTTTTCCCTCAGAAACTATGAAAATTTGGTCAACATGCTGCTGGATTGTGTGGAACAGAGAAATCTGTAAGTCTCCCCTTCCGTGCACGAGAACTCTTTGGGGGTGGATTGGAGGTGGCCGCATGAATAAACATCAAAAGCATCAAGAAGTGCAGTTAGCATGACCACAACTGAGTAATACTCAGATAAAGGCCGCTATGGGGGAGTCTTGCATTTGTCTCCTAGGTAAAGACGTGAATGAGTCTTGAATTTATTTTCATTGGAAGCTTGATTTGTTAAATTAAGGTATCATCACGTCTTGGAGTTTAGCTTTGTTGTTAGTAAGTTTGACCTGTCTTTGTTGGTTTTGGTTTGGGTTTTTTTAAAAAAATTATTTATTG